TCAAGGCAAATAAGGTCAAACAAGGTCAAACTCCGAATTGGTGACTAAAGTGCCCTCAGATCTGCTCTCGCTACTGCCTTTAACCTAGATAGGTGTTCTAAAAACGTAGGAAGCCTGGAGCCATTTCCAGCTTCCGAGTTCTCCAGAAGGGTTCCCGGGAGATGAAGAAATATTTCAATGAGTGGTTTTACAAAGGTAGGTAAGTGAAGGCTTCAAAACTGATCTTAAACGATAAGAAAACCATTAAAAAATATATGCATCAATCTTGACACGGGGTAACTCCCCACAACCCAATTTCTCCAGCAATATGAGCTAAAAATTTGGATGCTATTCAGGTCCCCCGTCTCCCTTCGATTCAAGAGGCCCAAACAGTTTTTTTTTTAAACCATGCGTGTGGTAGGAAAATGAATAAAGTTCAATATTTCAGACCGATTGCTGGTAGAATAGTGGTATGAGCTCTGGCCAGAAATGGAATTAAATTTAATAGACACAATACTTTTTTCTATAGAACATACGTTAAGGCTCACGTTTTGGTCAAGCATTGCTTTAGTTAGGCCAAAGAGACACTTGCAGGGATGTTGACGAGATGAATCTTTCCAGAAATAGGAGGACGAAATCACATAGAGTCCAAACTTTCAAGCCTAAAATTGACTTGCAAGTGTCACTTTCCGCCCCCAGATCCAGAATTTTGACACACTGCCAGAGAGTGAAATCCAGGTCTGTCTAACAGTCCAGCCGGGCAACTTGGCACCGAACTGCCCCCAAAAAGGATATCGATAATGTCATTCTACAACGGACCAAATCGGTAACAGCTTCAGACCCTGTCGATGCCTGGAGCTGTGAACTAGCCCCAGATATTTCCCCGCCTTTTCCCCGGTATAACCCCTGAGTTTCCAATGCCCCAGACGCATAAGGATATCATTTTCCCTACGAGAATGCACATTGGCAAGCTAACGCGTAGCTCCCGTTCGTATGCATTATCTTCCGTGGCATCTGTAGCACTTCTCGCCCCCCTCGCTTCTGACAACAACGTCAAAGCTTATTGAAACTCCGCTTCGCGCGCATGCAGGTACTTGCCTGCGCATTACTCCTTGGCAACTTCAGAAAGCTTCTTGACTTTAACCCACCTCAGCCAAGTACGTGCTAGCTTAACACGCTGGCTTCGGAGGCGTGGTCCTAACCAGTGGAAGTTTGTAATGCAATCTGAGCAAGTTGAGCTGACAATATTGTTCCAACTGATTGGAGAGATTCAATTGCGCGCCAGCCAAGGCTACCGAGCTGCGGTTTCTCGGTGGTTAGCAAGAAGGGAATGTGGGCATGTCCGTTGCTACGATATACGGCGCCATGTCAGCCCAGTGTTCAGTACAGTTGTTCCATTCGAGAAAGCACGCAGTAAATGTAGGCTTTACTACTTCTTTGTTTCTTCTTTTACTTAACGGCAAGTTGCATGGATAGTTAAGGATGTATTGATCCCGACTATTTTTGTTATTACTGGCAAATCTCGCCGACACTACTGGCAAAACTTCAGGTTGGGACAGTTTCAGAACTCATAACCATAACCGTACGTCGGAAAGCATAGCAAAACTCAAAACATAACCAGATTGCGGAAGCATCGATGTTTTTGGGTAAAGCGACATATTGACGCCATCAAATCAACAACCTTGTAGATTGAATAAAATGACAAAAAATGCGACTGAGCTGATGAATTATGAATGTTGCAGACTAGTCAGCAACATTCAGCAGTAACAATGAAATAATAGGGCAGGCCGAGTTGTCTACATATCAGCACATGCCAACATATTTGTCGCTCGTAAAATCGACCATCTAACATATTTTTCGTATCTGTGCCATGTGGATGAATTTGTAACACCCCTGTGCGACATCCATTGTTGTGTTTTTAGTCCTGGTGCGTTTTTATTCGGACCTAAAAAATGCACGAGTGTGTTCGAATACAGAGTCACTTAAACACAAAACTGGTGCGTTTTTAACGACATGAATGCATCAAACAAAAAATGTCCATCGCAGCACACGATAAGCTGGTAATGAAAACAGGCAAAAAGGTCAAGAGACATGATGCAAACAAGAAAGTCCTTGGTCTCCTGTTTTTTCAGCGAGATGAGTTCAGAGATCTTGCATTGATTTATCGACCTTCAAATTGCCCGGATGTGCTTTTAAAACAAGGGTATGTAACGAACATTCGCTCTTTGGCGGTGCTCAAAGTTTCAAGCTGTGCTTGTAATGCTGCAATTTCGACAAACTTTTGCACACCAACTGTGCCAGCTTCAGTCTGGCTGGCTGCATGAAGCTTGAATATCTGTCTTGATTAGAAACACTGAAGGGTTTTGCATGCATCGTTTCACAAGCAACTTTCAGTAATATCGTGGCAATTTCAAACGAGTAGGCATTTCGGCGCATCTTCTACATTTAAAGCTATAACATAATTGCATGGCAAATAACGCCGTCGCACTGATCAGCTCAGCGTTTGAATTTCTTTCCAGCCCATTGGTTGTACTAAACAGAGCTGTCATTTGGAACTGCGCAACATAGTCCATTTCGTAGCATGTCAGACAAATTGTTTCCGATCTATTTGCGGAAAACTACGTCCACAAAGTCGTGTTCAGTGTGATGAGCTAATGGCTGTGTGTTGTGCACATTTCAGGCATGCTGTGTGAAATACCACTGGATCAGACGTGATTTAAACGTCCCACGAACACAGCAGCACCAGCTTTTTCGCGTACGTTACTCTAAGGAGTGAGGCCGAACACAAACCGGGCTTTTAAAATAAATCATTAGATGGAGTAGTTCCGAGTGGCGTCATCAGCTGAACTGCTCACCAAATTCATAGATGACGTTTATTTTTAATTGCGACTGGCCATGCTGCCGGCACTAACCGGCACGCTGGTTACGCTGCCGGCAACAGAACGTAAACATATCACTCATTTAGCAAACACATGTTGGCCTGCCACCAAGCGGCAAACAAGAGCCCTGTTATCTGATACGATAACTGCTCCCTGGTGACTATATTTATCATTTCACAACAAAGTATAGCTCGCAATACTTTGAGCATGTCAGCCATTTCCCGCGCAAGCAGAAGGCACGACAGAGGCGGCCCAGAGCGTTCAGATGCCGCTCACTTTGCTCGTGCCCCCCGGCGGCCAGCGGCACCAGCCCGCACCGGAGATCATGGGTACAGCCCAACAAACAGTTCAGCAAAACCGATGCGGCTTGCCTGAAATTTGAATGCGTTGATGCTCCAGCCAGAGGCCATGACCTATATGTTAACATGTAGTTGGTGAATTAGCAACTCATCGGATCCAGTGATCAATGCGAGTGTGTTCTCGCTCCGGAGCGCCCGTCAAGTTGTGTTTTTGTTGTTGGATGGCCTCGCCCCAACCCGCCTGTGCTGGCCCACGTGGAGGTGCAACTTTTTAATAAGTGGCCGGGTTTGCTGTTTCGCGTCGCCACGCTCTTTCCCGGTTCCGCGGTACATGCTTGCACGTGCAGATCCCTAGCCTGTAGCTCAAGTGAATCATGCATCGTAAAAGCATTTTCGTGTATGCATCATGTCAACAACGAGCAAAAGACCAGCCCTCTGGGCGTGCCTCTGAATCACTGTCTGCAGAACATCCATTTGCTTTGTAGTTTGTTGGTGCAAGTTCGCTGACGGTTGCACGTTTCACTCCGTTGGACTTGTCTCGATGATCGCGGCCATGACTGTGCCGTGAATCACTGTCTGATCCGTTTCAGCAATGAGGATCACTCTTCGTGGCTTGTCACCTTGTCATTAATTATTTCAGCTTGTGACCCCGTTTAGCTCACTCGGGAGCCAATGTATCGTGTTTCAGAAGTCCTTCGGGAGTTTCAAACTGTCAAAAGGTGCTCGTGCGTTCGGCCCCATGGCACCGTCGACACCTCCAGGTACGGGAGGGGGGTAAGGCCCAAAAAGTCCTGCCCCGCTCCTCTCCTCGACAACGCCGCTGCCGATCTGTCGATTCCGGTAGGCGCACCCTTTCGAACAGATCTAGATCGACTCGTGACAGCACAGTGCAGACAGTACAGACAGTACGTGACAGTACGTGACAGCACGTCAGCTTCAGCGGCCGACAGAACCTGACAGATACCGGTATCCTGTTCTGTTCACGACTTGTTGTGAGAAGATCAAGAATAATTAGCGTATTATTGATTACCATGGGCAGTGACGTGTCACGGTCAGCAGCAGTAATTTTATGATGAAGTCAACGCAGAGCGAAGTCGTCATGCACGGCACCCAGCAAAGGCAAATACTTTAGGCGCCAGGACAAAACCAAATTGGTAGCCAATTGATACGCTGGATACTGTGCCTATTAGCGTTCGAAGCATCTGTAGTATGCTCGCAGCGCGCGGAACTGCATGGCTGAGACTCGGCCACAGAGAGGTCTAGCGCTCTCGCAGCATTCGAGTGGTCACTACCACTGTCGACCATGTTGGATGTGCCGCTGCGTCGGTGCAATCAAAAACCCTGATGGGTATGTACCCTAAGGTGTTACACCTGCCTGAACGTTCATCATTAAGATGACAAACAATTGTTACATGTGCATCCTGGTGGGATTGGTGTTGCTTAATGATTGATTTGATCGATTACTGGGTGATAAATGTAGTCCTGTCGCTTGCATTTCCGCTCTTCTTATAAGTGTAATTATGTATGTCTCGGCACTTATAGTTGGAAACGCCAAAATGAAGGGCTATGTTTGGGTCAATGTAAATCGTTTCATAAATAAAACAAACACGTGCAGGGAGTGCCATGATACAAAAGTGTGTTTTAGGCATATTGTTAACCTATCACCAAAACGACATAAATACATTCAACCGCTACAACTCTGACAAAATGCGTCCCGCTCACCACTATCCTGCACGCGACGGCAAAAAGAGGGTCACATATCGCATTTTACTTGCATTTGATCCCACCGCAGAACATTGAGACCTGCGCTCGCACCGGCCAGGCCGATGGCGACATCACTCACCCGTGTCAAGGTCGCTGGCGTCTTGAAAGCTCATGATGTCATAGTCATATGCCTGGCTCTGCGCACTCACCACCTGCACTGCGGTCATGGCGACCAGGTAAGCGGTCAACCGGCGCCCGCTCGGCTGCATCGCTGCGCCCTTCGGCCGGCCCAGCCCGCCAGCGGCGCGCCAACCGCGCCCTAATACCGCTCCGAGCCCACCTCGTCGCACTGGCATTAACGCATCGGCCCTTATTAGGTGGGCGCCCGGGTCGTCGGCGCTACGATTCCGGGCGACGGCGACGGCGACGGCGGCGGCGGCGACGTCGGCGGCCGACGGGTCCCCTGCCTGCAACAGAGCGGAGACGGCGATGAGACGCAGCCAGAGGAGCGCAGACCAGGGACGGGCGCTGCCAGCCGACATGATGCCCGTGCATCAGCGATGCCGCCATAGCGCTGCTGGTACTTATCATGGGGACAAGACATTGCATTTCCAGAACGTGGACAGCTGGCTCGTTATACAGTTTGGGGCGCCAGTCGCATTCTCCACGTGATTTCACATTTCTTCAAATTGTTGTCAGAATGTTATTTGATTACTTCTGAGGCTCCATCTGGCGTTTTCATTAGGACGGTAGCATTTAAGTATGATGAATGCTGCCTCTGAAGGGAATATAATGCAACCACAACAGCGGTGACGCGTTATGAAATCGTCGCGCGCACGGTTTTAGACATTTAAGGCTCGGCATGCTCATCCTCGTGATCTTCGCTTTAAGCGATGCATGATCATATTCAGTCTTATGCCCCTCTGAGCTGAAATATAAATAAAGTACAGTAAGCAAAAAGTCTAATCACAATGAGATCTGGCGACCAAACGAATACTGGATTACACCGTTTCTTTTTTTGTGTGTGTGTGTTTTGTATATTGTGGCCCTAATGCCATGCCTTATTAGAAGACCATTCTCGCTTTGCCGGAAGCCAAAGCCTGTACGCTGCACAGGGCCACCGTTTGCGTTGCCGGCGGTCCTTGAGACACGAAACCATCTCTCAAAGTTCGCGCTGTCGTCACTCTGCGAGACCGGAGACCACATTCCATCGTTCGCGCTGTCGGCAGTACCAAGACGGGAGACCATCGCTCTCGCGCCACCAAGGCCCGCCCGTCTCGACCGAGATGCTGCCCCGCCCCGCCCCGTCGTCGTGTGACCTGACCTCGGCGGCCGGCGCCCGGACGCCGCAGCTGACTGGCCGTCGGACGGCGGTCGATGGCTGCGGGACTGAGCGGCGGTTAGGACTGATCCAGCCGCGTCGAGTGGAGCGCCGTCCACCTCTGCAGCTCTCTGGGTGCGCTGCTACAGCCGACGGAAGGGACCGACTCGCGTGACGCATTGTGACATGATCCGAGTGGGCAGGGAGCGTTCCTCACAGACGCGTCTGATCAATGTCATCAAGCGGCTGAATGGCACTGCACTTATGCATAGCTTGGGCGTATGTCAGGCACGCTAAGATGGAGCAACACTGACTGTCAGCCTAGAGTAAGACTGTGCCAATCTTCGCCTACGATCACATTTAAATAATGGGTTTCGAGAGACATCAGGCTCCCATGGGTCGAGCAGATGAGGCAAACTTTAAAGGCCAGGGACTACACTACATGCCTACGCCAGAACTCGGGTAACTGGAAACAGTGCAGCGTCATGTAAGTAATTCGGAAGGTGTGCGCCAACATCTGAGTTTCATGCACCTGCTAAGCGATGATCGTGACATGACCGCTGCACTCCACACACACACGTAGACCGTCCCAGTTCAGCAGGTTGCTCTGAGTCCAGAGTTACCAGCCAGACGATACCGAGGGTCAGGGCGCACTGTTCGTTTGATCAAGGTATTTGTCCCCAGCAAGGTTCTTTTAATCGTTCTTCTTGTAGGTCAAAAGCAAACGAAAATCGTCACCTTGCTGTGACGGAGGACAGTTGACCTGGTTCAGAGGTGTTGATGATGGGCACCCAATCATGTCGGAGTATGTTGTGTCCGCGCCGTTTTTCCAGGCACCCATCTGGAGGTCACGATCACTACTAAATAAAGGTTAATTCATGGCTTATGAGTGAACGGTCCATGGCAGTTTCCTGGCAACGTAGTGCGCGTTAAGCGCACCATGTTTATGCAGTTTCCATGCTCTTGTCCATATTTCCTCCGAAGTGATCGGGATAATGGGGCATGCGCCATGTGAGGCAGCTGTGATTAGTGTACGCAGTCCGGCAATGGCTGCGGATATAGGGCGTCGTGGCTGAATGTTGGAAGACGGACAGGCCGTCGGCCGGTTAAGATCACCAGCAGCTGTTTATATCAGTCTGTTGATCCGAAATTCAGTAATTTCTGTTTGTTGACTTGCTCTTGATGAGATTAAGCAGACTTGTTCACGTTACCAAAGTCGTTGCACTTGCACGACTCACTGAGGTCACTACATGATATCTTAAACACATAATTTTCAATATTATTGTTACACTGACTTCACTTGATTATCTGCCGTCTAACTTTCGTTCCAAAGCAGCCTGTCCTCTTCAACAAAGTGAGACATAATTCGATAATGTGAGAACTCTTGTGGGCGAATCGCAACGGCCGGATCGCGCGATGGCTTTGATCTCGCGATACAACTGCTCGGCCGCTAAAATCATTGCTGCGATGTACGACACGGCCGAATAAACCAGCCGAGTGGAGAGAGAGCGGAAGTGTCGAGGAGGGGATTTGTTCCTGCTTCGCAATGCTACAACATGGTGGGCCCTTGCGATCAGTTGCCAGGTTACCTCTCCATCTCGGTGGAGTCACACAATGTCCTCTCGTTCTAGGACTGCCAACCGGTGCCGTCGAGTTGGAAGTCAATCGGCTTTCTTATAGACCACGGAGGCAGTAACCATGTGTGGTAAATGGAACAAGGAACCGATGTCCCGCTTGTTTTCCATTCCCTGTATCGACTCTTTTGGAGAAAAGTGCTTGCTAACGTCGATTCATTCATGATGATGACGCAGTGCTGGACTGTCGCAGACTCGCAGGGCCGCAGCCAGTGGGGAGGTGCTTCAGGCGCAGCACCGTTGCAAGACATACCAACGGCCCCGGGCCGTCAAGGCGAGCAAACTGGTGGGAACGCTGGGATCCTCTGTCTTCTGTTTGCAAGGCTGTTAGCTCCACCTGCAGTCTGATGCAATGTCGGCCGATATTGATGTCCAGCTAATCACCACAAACGTCGTTATCGCCGTCAGCCACTAAATTGACTATTAGGACTAGACACCCACTTCGGCCAATGGTGTTTGGGGCAATGACCTCATTTTGTTTGGGGCCTTTGGGACTCTGCAGCCGGTATGTTAACGTTTGTGGATCCTGCAACTTTCGAGGTCCCAGTGGGAAAGCCAGCTGGCATTTGTAAATGGCGTGTTAACTGATGATTGCATCGTCTCCGTGTTGAGCTAATCTAGATAGGCAGCCTGTTTGAGGCCATCGGAGACGCTGCCTCGCCCGCTGGGACTGTTTGCTGACAAATATCACTGAAGCTGCGGGGGCGGCAGCTGTCACCGGATTATGTAGCTGTGTCAATTCACCTCATTCCGCAGAACACGGCGTTCCGTCCGGCAATATCCAGGCCTTTCCTGCCAGGCCAATATCCAGGCCTTCCGAATATACACTGCTGCGGCATTCATCGGCGCAGAAGTACCGAAAATGTCGCTGCTCAATTTAAGCTGAGTTGATAATTGCTGCTGTCGAATATTCCGAGCCATAGTGACCCCCGTTAGTCACCGAACGCGTTCCCCTGCAACATGCACGACGCAAACTCGACGCAGCGTGTGTGCCGTGGTCACGGCCCCAACGATGACGTCCGTGGAGTCCTCGAGAATTGTTCGCTTTTGATTTACGCCATTGTTCCTTAAGTCACCGTCAAACTCGCAAAGCCATCTTCGTAGATCACATACAACACCAGCCTTTGAAGTGCCTAGTGATTTCAGATGTTATGTATTCGTCTAATCTACAGCGCTGCAATATTTGAGATCTGTATGATTTTGATAAAGCAGCCTAGTATTCAGTTTACTACGCTGATGTATAAGAATAAAAACATGCGCACGTGACAGTTCGGAGCCATCCAATCCCTCCCGGTATTCGAGAGCTTTACTTCCTTGTCTCCGCCGTAAGCGTGGCCGGCAGCGCTGGTGACCCTGACACGTTAAGGTCGTCGGCTGGCGAGCAGACACACGACTGCCGATCAGCACGATCGGCGCGTAGTCGGGTCGATGCCGCTGATTTGATTAACTGGCAGCACATGAGGGTGCCCCTCCTCCCCCGCCGGCGGCGGCGTCCGTGGGGGGCCGGGCCGCATCCGCGCTCATCTCCATATAAATGTGACGGAGCATTATTGGATCGCGTGGCGGCTGGGCGATGTTTGCTGTGTCGCAACGGCCAGGTCAATATGGGGCCGGGCCAGGTTCGAGTAGCGGGCGGCGGCGCCTGCGTCGCTGTATCGCATGCTCCGTGAGAGTGGCCCGGATGGCGGCGAGGAGCGGCGCCGGGCGTCGCGTGTCACGCCGCGGCGCCGCAGCGGAGATGGGAGTAGGAGCGGCGAGCGGGGCGTGCGCCGGTCGCTCCGCCGCTCGGCCGAGTGATGCGGCGCGGCGGCGCGACTGAGAGCGGCCTAAGGAGATGAGAGGGAAGGGACGAACGTCGCGAGAGCGGCAGCGACGTGCAACGAGTCTGAGGGCGAGCGTTTCCGTAGCACAACGCCGACGGGAAAACCTGGTACTTCCACGCTTGATGAACTTTTCTGCGCAAATCTGTCAGGGTTAAACCACGCTACGACATATTAACCGTAGCTCTACGAAAGTTCCCAGAGGCTGCTTCACATTTGTTTCCGGATGACTTCTGAACGGTTCTGACCACGGTACCAAATTATTGCAAAACTGATTTTGCACAATTGTTACACATGTAAGATTTAACATTTCCGACTTCGTCGATTCATGGTCCATGATCTATTTCCTGATCCATTGTCGTGACATTCTTGTCAAGTGTGACAAATCACGCTTAAATCTACCAGGAAATGAACCCTAAAAGGGTGTTATACGTAGTTTTTTCTCGACTGTATCAGTATAAAATACGTTGCTGTCGTGCCGAATAAGTTTGAAACGTCGGATATGTAAGGCACAGCGTAAACCGATGCCAGTGAAAGCTGCAGATCGCGTGCAGAGTACTGCGTGTTCTTGATAGCACGCCTGGTGTAGCGCAAACGGGGCTCCACCCAACTCTCGCCTGGCTACTTACGCTACGGAGGGTGAAGAGGCCGTCGGTGTCTGAGGCCCAACTGACATCGTTGGGTCCGCGAGAATGTTTGATGGCAGTACATATTCATACTGATGCACACAACTATAGCATGTCGCCTTGTTTGATGTTTTCCACATG